AAAAATATTGACCAGGGAAATGCAGATTGATACTGGTCTTAACTGGGACACTTGACAAATTCTCCGTCTTTTATTTGTGTATAATTCCTTCTTAATACACATATTGATATGAATACACACACACACACATGCCTGTATTTTCAGCTCAGGAGAATAGGTGGGAACTTCATGACCCCACTCAAGCACTGGGATCAGAATGGAAAAATATGTGTTAGAAATGGGTCTAAAGTCTCAAGGAAATACCACATGATCCAAAGTATTTCAGCAAACAAACAAACTTAACTTCTACAAAAGGGTGTATAGCTGAAAATCAAGTGATGACCATGGACTCCTGGCCACGGCCCTGCTAGATTTTATTTTCAATGCAAAGAAGTCCACTGCCTCCCCCTGAGTGGCAGGAGCTCAGCCCCACATGCTATCACAAGCATCTAATTTACTTAAAGGCAGCTGATAGCAAAGGGTAACTTTTAAGGACACAACGCAACCTTGAGAGTACACGCTGACCTTGATGCTGACAGAGCTGGGGACTTCGGCCAGATGGCATCTCACAGATCTCTTTAAAGATGGGGCTTGATCCTCTGACAGAGGAGACATTTCATTGGCATTCACCAGTTCTTAGATCCCAGATTATGTTGAGATTTGATGACATGTAACAATATTAGTCCTCTCTCAACTGAGGTTCTGATCTTAAAAACAAGGACATACTAACCATGTTTTCTAGGACTATCAAAATTCCTTCAAGAAGTAAGGTCTGCAGTGAAGGGCCAAGTAGGTACTGGCTAGCACCTGGCAGGGGAGCACTTTCAGGGTAAGTTAAAGGTACTATCGCTGTGTTTCATGTCCTCATCCCCAGCAGAGCCCCTGAGCAGGTGGAAGGACACTTTTTCTATAGTCTTACAGCATAAAGGGCAACTCAACGGCCACAACTTGGAAGCTGAGCACCCACCTGCTCTAGATTTTATCAATGTTGACCCATCGAAGTGTCTTCTTAAAGGAAGGGGCTGAGCACAGGCCACTTTGGTTGGTTGGTTGGTGGGTGGGTTGGT